AAACCTCAGAAATGAATTACTAGATGTGTGATTGGGTGGGAACTAAATGTTACGAATGCTCCACATATTTAAACACACAAAACATTTAAATACCCATATGAACCATTGGAGGGATTTTATTGAAGCTCACAGAAAGAAATGATTGGATGTCCAGCTTCAATTTGAGTCAAGATGGCTGCCAGCTAACTGACATTAACCAAAACATGTTGACCACAACATAGTTAAAATTGAAGACATTGAACTAAAATTTGTCATGTAATGACTGAGAGTTACTCTAAACACATAATCGTGCATGGGATTTGGCATAATGTCATTTATAAAGTTTGACCAAACCAAATATAACCTTGGATATGATGTTAGGTCTTTAATTTTTTTAATGTTTTTTTTCAACCTAGGGAATAAGAAAAAAAAAGTTGTGTTGTTTTTCAAATATTTATTCAAAGATGATAAAACCCTAAATGCTCCTGTTTTTTTTTCTATAGCATATGAGTATAAATTTTCTGTAAATTAATGTTAGGAATCTACAACTGAAATAATGTGAAATTATTTAAAAATGAGTTCTAAAAGAAGTCAAACTGAGATACTCTTTTGTTGACTTTATTAGATGATAAATAAAAAAAAAAGTAGGTTGAAATCAACAAATCTACCTGGAAATGATGCACTACTTTTTGTCTGTAATGTGTAATCTTTACCTGATAATTAAGTATCACCATGTGAAAAAATTAATTTTCAGGAAGAGAAAACATACATTTTGAAGTATAAAATGTCTATATTTAAAGCACCATATGGCACCAAGTTAAACTAAAAGCAATGTATCTCTCCCAGCTGTTTCACAAATAAAGTGAACTTAAATTTGAAATTTGTTTCTGACAAGGATAAGTTGTCAGAGTTGCGATCTTTAGCTGTACCTCCAGGACACGCAGACTTCCTGATGCACAAAATACTCCAGAAATGTTGCTGATCGGAGCTCCAGCGGTCTAAAACAACTATCGGTTTTTATTAGTTCGGACAAATTCTAACCCACAGGCCAATTTAATAAGCATCTATAATAACATCTGCCTCAGTTCAAGTGTTCTGCTGTCAGAGTAGACTTAGTGTTTGCCCTCACAAACTAAACAGTGTAAGATGCAGACTTCCYGTTTTTTTACAAAGAGCTTCAGGCTTCAGATACAGTACAAGGGGAATAGTTCTTGGGTTTTATTGGCTCTTTTAGTTTAACACAACCATGAAGATTTAATTTTCACTGGTTAGAAAAGTGTTAAAAGCAATAGTTTAGATTTTTTTTGCATAAAGGTCCTGAGCAATATCTGCTTTTTAGTGAAATATAGTTTCAATTTTAACTTTGCAGTTCTGTCCAAGCAGAGCTTTGTCAGAGTGGACTGTTGCTGTCCTATATCTTAACCTTTTATAGCAGTTTATGCAAATGCTCCTTTATAAATCAGCACTAGTTTCACCTTAAATTGTGTATTTAAAAGTCTATTGATGTTAACAATGTGGTCCGTGTAATTAATTTATTTGAAATATGAACATATAACATAATTTTCTACAGAACAGCCTTTCATAAAATTTGAACTTTCATTAAACATGACTCGCATGTGTTTTGTTTTCCTGCTAGGTATAGCTCTGAGTGCACTGCCCATGTACCTGGGGGAGATTTCCCCGAGACACATCCGAGGTTTTATTGGCCAGTTCAACTCCATCCTGATCTGTCTGGGAGTGTTCATAGGACAAGTGCTGGGGCTGCCGCAGCTGCTGGGTCACGTAAGTGTGGCACTACTGAAATATGTCTAAATATAGATCATGTTTATCCCGCAGAAAGTGGGTTTTTGAAGGTTTTTTTTCCACTAGAGTCAACTAAAATTATCCAAACTTGTGCTGCAGCAAAGACACAATTACCGTATTTATTAGCTGACACATAAACAAAAAGGAGTTGGATGTCACCCTCAAGCTCACATGGAAAAGGAGACACAAAAACAGACAGGATCTGTTCTGTTACTGTGCTGTGGTTTGTCAGCAGTGGGCAGAGTGTGAATGCCATTTAGACAGCACATTAACTGGATTCCTCACTCAGTCCCAGCTGCACAGCAGCATATGTGCCCATCTCAAACCAGAAAACAGACACAGCAGCGTTGTGTTGAATCTGCATGTCTTTGTGTGCATTAATTAGCATCCCAAGGCTGAGCTTTATTTATTTATTTATTTATTTCATCACGTTTTTCTCTTCAGCAATTAAACCGAGGAAGCTCGATTGTTCTGACAGGCAAACTTTTTTAAACTAACAGCTATTTCTGCCCGCAAATTTTTTTATTATACATATTTTAAATTCTAGGCAGACAGAATTGGAACTGTGACCAACTGTATTTGAGAACAATACTATTAGCAGCCTCAACTCTATGCGGAGGACAGCTTTTAGTGTCTGAAAACAATTTTTCTTTTTTTTTTAATCTCTTGATTTGGAAAACGTCTGCTGAGTTTTGACAGTTTATTCTTACTCACAGAAAATGTTGCTGCGGTCGATGTCGTCTGCTCCTAATGCTGAAGGACTTCTCTTAAAATTTATTGGACAAGCTAGATAAAAAACGATGCTAAAGTTGTGCACATGTTGAAATGTGATGCCCGAGAGTCCTAAAAAAATGTGACAAGTTAGGAGTGAAAGGATTTGGCGTTGGCACCAGGCAGTCTTGTGAAAACGTCATCTTAAGACATTTTTTGCAAGTGCTCAGGAAGTGTGAGGGTTGGATTGTTAAAATACACTCAAAATCCATGCTGAAGTGTTTAATATAACACAAATAAATAAATAAATAAATAAACAAGACTAACTGTTGAGTGATTTTACTGAAGTACTAGTCTCTCAGATTTGACACTTGTTCCACAGCGAGGATCATGAGACATCACCCAGGGACAGGAGACTCATCTGGTCAGTTGTCTAAATCAAAGAAAAATAAAAAAAATTCATCACTTTCTTGGCCTTGGAGGCCACTTTTGAAGTATTTGAATCTGTTATAAATTGAAGGCCTAGAACTCCTTGAAGGAAAGCGTGTCACAGTTTGTGACTAAGATCATCTTAGCTTAAAAAATGAAAGACTTGTGGATGTTTTGGTCAAACCCTGAAAATAATAATGATACAATTTAGTGCATGGTGGTGAAGAGGTTATAGCTGTTGCCTCTCAGCAAGAAAGTTGAACGCCTCCTGGCTTTTCTGGGTGGGGTTTGCATGTTCTCTGTGAACAAATGGGTTTTCTCCAGGTGCTCAGGTTTCCTCTCACAAAATAAAAACAAACATGTTAGACTAACTTCTAACTGTTAAGGCTGGTTTATTGTTCCACAAGACGTGAGGCAGCAGATCAGTGATTATGTCATTTGGATGTCTTTTTCTTGCTGACATGTTTGCATATAAGACACAGTGTAAATCATCACAATTCCTCCCGCAGCACTCCTAATGTGGCATGTTTTGGTATAAGTAACCATATAAACAACAGTGATAGTTGTTTTTTTCACTTGATGATGTATCAGATGTGTGAAGAGACGCTTGTGTCGTTGGATGAGGGTTAGGAAGAAACTCTTTTTCCCCCTTGTTAAGTGCAAAGATGAAAGAAGATGTTAACATTGGCTGCAGGTTCCATCTTGCTAATTCAACAACCAACTTGAAGTGAACCATTTTCAGTTAATTCACATGCTGAAGGACGCGCTACTCTGCATAAACAAACACGCCTACAACATTCTGACCAATCACACAAAGTGAGCTGCATAGGTCTGCAGTTAGCAGGACAGAGTTCTGACTGAGGGCAATGTACACAACAAGGTGTCAGCGAGAGAGAAGATATGCAGTTTCTGTCACACATGAGTGTCATTGAGACGTGCAACTTGAAGTATAAACCAACCTTTAGGTTACGTTTACACTGCAGGCAAAGGTGACTCAAATCCAAGTTTGTTTTGGATTTATCTTTTCTATGACAAATCAGACTTTTTAAAATCCAATCCAGGTTTATGTGAACTGCCATGTTTCATTTTATCCAACTCTTAAGTTACTGAGGTCGAGGTATACGGTTTGATGCAGATATTAATAAGTTTGTGCAGTTTGGAACTACACACGTCTACAGCTACTAGAGATGTGATGTTTGCAAACGGTCCAAGTTGTTTGAACGGCTCCTTACAGTAAAAGATAGGAATCAAGTTGCGGGCAATAAAGAGACGTTCATAGTTTTATATGTTTTTACTCCTCGTTTCGCTTAACAAAACACATGGTTCTGCCCATGTGGTATGATGGTGTCATCATGTATATCCATACATGTTGACCTCACTCATTCAAWACTAGAAGCACTCTGAGAGGGCAAACCTTCGCCAAAGCAGAAATGGAAACACATTTGCCGAATAAGTTCTGACGTAGTGAACATTTAAGCAGGCAGTATGCATGAGATTTCAATCCGGTGGAGTCCAATGCAGGGGGTACCTGGTTGATCATCTGTTCCCTCAGTTCGGTACCAGCTTTGGCTCGGCTACAGCTGGACCCTCCCCCGCTGTCAGCATCTTCTCAGTTATTCCCGTAACGTGAAGAGAATCCCATTTCCTTTTCTATGTCTCCAGACAGCATGTTACAACACCAATACCAGTTGATGACAGAATAATCACAACTTTCCTGATGGTAGGCATCCTGGGAGGTGTAGTCCCAGCGACTTTGCGACTTCTACTTCCTGTTACAGACATGCGTCTGACGTCATGACACTTTGCGTAGCCTTGTCTGATTCGGTTGAATTAAAAGARAAATTCCTGTATCCGCATCGTGATCTGGAACATCAACAAAATTGAATGGTGTGTTCTTTGTTCCAGTATCCACGTGTGGTAAAAATGTCATGACAATCCGTCCACAAGTTTTTGCGCGACCGAAAACATTACCCCCCCCCCCCCCCGACGAAGGTAATGAAATTGCTCCTTTGAACAGCTCTATGAAACAAACGGCTCATCAAGATCCAGATCCCATCTCTAAACGTTACAGAACGGAGATCCAGCTGCTTCATTTTTTGAAACTTTCTAGACTTTTCATGTTCTGAATGACTGAGAACTGCATCAAATCTGCACAAAACTGCACCTGAGCAAAAAATTGGAATAGAGCATTAAGATCTGCAGTGTGAACGCAATAGACAAGAGTTTGAATGGTTGTGTGTCTTTTTTGTCACTATGTGTCCCTGTGGTGGACATGRTTTGTCCAGGGTGTCCCTCGTCTCTCGTAAACTGACTGCTGGAGATGGGCACCAGCTCCCAGGTAAAGAAAACGGATGGATGATCTCATGGAGTGTTATGAGATGTTCGCACTCGCAGTATGTGCGCTGCTGAAACCTGTCAGTTTTATTATGAAAAGTAGGACTCGTCATCTGATGCAGCCTTTTTGTGTTTGTTTCTGAGACAGTTTTCTTCTTCCAGCTAATCTACCATTTGCTATGTCTGCAAACAAAAACAACTCATATACACACCCCTCATCGATATTCACTTTGACTCAGAACAAATTCATCTGTTGGAACAAATGATGACATCGCTTTCAAGAGGAATAAAACATGAACGGTCTTGCATCAAAACATCCACACCAATTACTCTGTTGAATTTAAATGACCATTGAGTGGTATCCCCAGCATTTAATCATTGTCTTTTCAGTCGCCTCTGGTTCAATACAAAGAGGCGGAGCCACAGTGATTCCCAGCTGAATAACGCTGAATCATTCCACCACCATTATTGACCCACGTTGCAGATTTATTATTCTAAATTCTTCAGGGAACAATATCATTCTGAACATGGCAAATCTCTACASACCCAACATGGATTAATACTCCTTTTTCAAATAAAGTCTTCACACTTTTTTATGATTTCACAGACCATAGAATTGTATTTGAAGGTCATTTCAACACCTGGTAGTGTAGTGCACTCATAATGAAAAGGCTGCAGGTTCAATTCTAGTTGGAGTCTCTCTGTGTGAACTTTCACCCTGTGCATGTGTAGCTTTTCTGTGGGTATTCTAGCTTCATCTCACAGTAAAAAAAATTAAACGTCATGCATTTTAGATTCATTAACGACTCTAAATTGTACTTCAGCGCGAGTGTGATTATTTTTAGGAACTATCTGTGGTTTATTAAGTGCCTTTTGCCCATTGACTGATGGAGATAAACACACAACCAACCCTGAACAAGAACAAATAAGGGAWAAACTATAAACGAATAGTAATTTTGGCACAAACGTTTTTTTTCTCTTTACTTCAAGGATTTTAATATTTTYACTTCCTGATMAACAAATAAATATATAAAAACAAGAAACTACTTAAAGGGATAGTTCAGATCATTTAAAGCTGGGTTTTGTAAAYAGGTTATGAATAACCCCTTTCTTGWGCATATATRTTAGTGGGGCAGACATTAATTTCCTTTATCAAAGTCAACATGAATGYTATAAATTTTTTGTGAAAACTATGAATGTTACGTTTTTAATTAGTTATTTGTTGTCTTTTTTTCAAAGGCATCAATGATCATACAGCTTTTTTTATGAAACAATATGAGGTCTCATGTCTGGTGTTTTCTTAATCCTGCCACACAACAATTTCATTGTTTTCCTCTGGTTCACAGCACTTTTATTCGTTGAAGTTATTTTTTTCTCTGTCCCATTATTTGTGACGTTTTAAGGTGCAGCCCACATTTGAGATTTCAGATTTTTTTTTTTCAGTTGTTCCAGCAATTTTTTTTAGTTTTTTATTTA